TTTTTTGCATGCTCCAGTTTTAGTAAATCTACCCCCATACGTCTTTTTTTCTGCTTAGGCAATTTCAAGGGCAAAGTTCCGCCAATGGAATGAGCTTTGAGCCAAAAGCCAGGAAGACACCCACAGAGCTAATTTTGAAGCACTCACTCATCCGAACAAGACACATGTAATAGGAACACATTTTACTATTAAATACTATTTGCAGTCTATTGCAAACAAAGAACAAACATACACAATAGGTTTATGCAGGTTTATTTCAACAATCCATTTTGACACATATAATGTGTTTCTTCAGCTTTTTATACACAACAGTTCTATGGTATGACATGTATAATAGAAGATATGTTCCAGTAACATGGCATTGAGTGATTTAATAAGGCAAGTGTATGTCAAATAATATTTTGTTTTTCAGAAAACAAAAAGTTGATCATTCTCCAAAACGACCTTGTTGGTTTGGTATGAATCTTGGTTAGTACATAACATCATTGAAATTTTTTGCTCATTTTGCCAAGATAGGGGGTAGTATATATATTGATATTTGCTACCATGAACTTCACTGATAATGAATATCCATTTGTATCCCCGTTGGAGCAAATTGGATCATGCTTTATAGGGTTTTTGGATCGTTTGGACCTCCTTTTGGATCAACAGTGGGTAAAGGGTTGTGTTTATGAAGGATTTATAACTGTTTATTTTTTGCATCATTTGAACTAGATGGACTTTTTTCAACCCAACAAACTATGTAACTATATGTAAGTGAGTTAATATTTGGCATTCATTTATGCTGTGCATTACTGGTGAAACTCATTACACTAATGTCTATGCTGACTGAGCAAAAACCCATCCTATTGTTGCCCATATCATAGACTGAATAGTATTGCCGGAGGAAGACATCACCCAGAATCCAGAAAGGTTGACCATTTTGAGATGGCAGGTAAGTCACTTCTACTCCAACTGTACAATATCCATTATTCTGCAAATAAAAACAAGATAGATGAAAAGGATAGAAAACCTAGACATGAATAAGAGGCAAGAAAACTAACATTATGTCAAGGAAAGGCAACAAACACATACATATTCCCAACAGGGAAATAGATAAGGAGTAACAAAAATAGAACTACATAGTATGTGTATAATATGATGAATAAAACTCTAAAAATATATTAAAGCCAAGCTCCAGGAATTACTAATAACTTTTTGTCCTGCATTGCACTTCATGACATAATCCTGTGACCACAGTCCAGAGTGTCTTTAAAAAGAGGATTCTGGGGATGGGGGAGACAGTTGCACAAATGGAGAGGGCCTGCCAGAGCAAGGAGTTAGGAACATATTCCACTTTATTCCTTATCCCCTAGAGGTAACAAGCATTTAACCCTTAGCAGTACAGAGGGGCCCTATTGTGAGAGCAATTTTTTTTTTAAATACCGGAGTTGGGCTTTAATGTTTCTTTTAGGCTGAAGTTAGGTACAGGCCATGGCACATAGCAAGATGCAATCACTGATATAGATTTTTTTTTATACCATTTTAAATGTAGGCATCACCAGTTATATGCCAATCTGAGCTAATTTTCACTAGGAACTGTACACATTTGCATGGGAATGTTACAGTATTCATGACCAGGACATACACTGCTCTCTCACTATTATCCACAGCAAAAGTACATACTTTTGACTAATGTTTTAAATAAATATATTCATTAAATATTATAAAAAAAATCTTTAAATTATATTTCATAGCATTTAGGTCTTTCAATTGTATTTATACTGAAACCAAAGTTCCTAATACAGGTATGCTTGCTATGCTAACATTAATTTCTCTCACAATCACATCCTATTTACCTTTTTGCAAATTTGCAAATAAAAATTATCTGCTGGCAGAACTCCTATACCCTGGATGAGTTTTTTCTATATAATGTTTTTGTTTTCAAATTATTAATTGCATGATTAAACTTTTGTTGAATTTATATGCAATATAAGCAAATGCAGTTAATTGCATGAACTCCCATTGATTAAAGCTGATGGTAGGAAGGCTCTGTTATTATTGAAAGAAAAACAAGGACATAGAAGTTTAATTTACCAGATTAGGTTGCATACAGTGTATACATTAAAGCGATTCTAAAGCCTAAAGGTTTTTGTTACCTTAATGTACCTGCATTAAGGTTAAAAAAACTTTCCATCCACTGTTCAACATACCTAAATACTTAGCCTTAGTCCTCATTGATCCAGCACTGACAACAGCACTGCACTCCCTCCCTGCTCTCACAGGCACAGAGGCAACAGCATTGCCATTGGCTCCTGGTCAATAAAATCCTGTGAGGAAGGATCAGGGGACAGGGCCAAGCCACACTGTTTGTTTATGGTAGGCACACAGCCTGGCTTGGTAGTGCACTGCACAGGTGCCTCCCATAGCAAGCTGCACAAGGAGAAAAGGAAGAGCTGAGCACTGAAGAAAGGAGGAAAAGGACTCTATGTAGAAAGCATAATTTTTTTAACCAGATACCGGGCACTTAACCAGGTCAATTTTCATTTTCAGCAGTTGCACTCTGACATTGCAAAACTGTGAAATTTTTATTATTTTTTAGCACACAAAGAGCTTTTTTTAGTTACCTTAATCACCACTGAGTATTTTATTTTTTGCTAAATAAAACAAAAACTCCTGAAACTTTTGAAAAAAAAAAAACACACTTTTTTAATGACGTTTCTGTTAAAAAAAATAAATAACATTTCTTCATAAATGTTAGGTCAAAATGTATTCTGCTACATTCTTTGGTGAAATACTTAATTGAATTTGTCCTTTTTCTTTTTTTTTACTATTTTATTTTTCAGCACTCTGTGACCAAAGCAATACAATGTTATCATAGTAACATTGAACTATTCTGGGCAAGTGATCAGATTTTTTTTTTTTTTTTTTTAGCACATTATGATTGCTAATAACAATGTATTTAATTGATATTTGCAATCAATGTTACTGAATTAAACTGATTCATTCAGTCTTTTGTTGTTATTAGCTGTGATTGGGCAAAGCTGATCATATGATACAGATGGGCTGTGATTGGCCCTGTCTGTATCATGTGACTGCCTTGACCAGTCACAGCTAACAACATAATTGTATAAAATGGATGGAATGACAGGAAGCCTTCCATTGTATACAATTGTCATGTGGTCTGCTGTGATTGGTCACAGCGATCACATGACACTGGCAACAGGCCGGTGTAGTGATATGTCATTGGCTGTCTCCCGTGGACACAGTTGGTGACAGATCACGCTGCTACGCAGCACCTTGAGCAACTCGTTTTGACGGGACGCCATATGACGCCCAGTCACAACAGCGAGTGTCCCGCCCGGCCGTCAATCTGCTATAGGCCAGAGACGGAAGGTGTTAATCTTAGAAAAAACATTCAAGCCTTTAGTATCACTTTAAGGAGGACCCAAAAACACATACTTTCCCATTTGACTTCAGTAAATTTTACCAAACTTGTGAAATTTCACTAAAATCTCCTGATTTTGGCAACATTTTGGGGACATGAAAACTCAGTTTTTCTCATCTCTGTTTATTAAATAATTTCAAATATGTGTAATGTTAAACTGATTCAGCTTTCATCCATTCAGTGTAATCAAAAAATCAAAAAACAAGAAGAAAACTGGATTTGCTGTAAGTTAGCACATTTTTTGCACATGTTTATAGTTTTGTTGAGGGCCAGCTCCAGGTTTTTGGACAGAGTTAGGATACAGACAGAAAAAAACACCTGGAAGTTCTGACTGTTATCCACTTTATTGAAAACATAAAAATAAAAGGTTTGACTGGAGTTGTGATTCAATTTAAAGAATAAGTTCACCTTTGGGAACATGTTACATGTTCTGCCCGCTTTTAGGGTGGAACATGTAACATGTTCCCAATTCTGCAGCGCCGCCCACCACCCCCTCCCCCCCTGACAGATAATATGGGGAGAAGTTTCCCCGTACTATCTGTCAGATTTGAAAACAGTGGCTATGCCCACACGGCCGCGTCATTCATTCATTAATTCATGGACTTCCGTGAATTAATGAACTGCGAGTCCTGGCAGCCTTAGCGGCTGTGGGCTTGTAGTTTTAAATGAACTACCACAGTGCTGTGGAGCGCCGTGGTAGTTCATTCAAGCTTCCTCTCAGAATATCTGCTTAGCCGTACATGCTGTATGGCAAGCAGATATTCTGATAGGTCTGTAAGAGACCTGCATGACATCAGAGATCAACTTATCACAGGTACAATGCTTTCCATGCTCCTTTGGACCAAAATGATAAATGTAATTTTTTACCTGCAAAAAATTTGCATTTATTATTTTTGTCCAAAAGGTGAACTTATCCTGTAAATTATAGAGATGGGTGAAAGAATTTATATTTATTAAGATAGATAGCTACCAATTAGTATTTCCAACAGAAGAAAGGTCCTAACGATAAATGTCATTTTTGAATGACAAGCCTTTAAATTAATGCTCTACTCACATGGTTTTTAAGCATGAAATAGACTTTGCTGATCTGAAACATTAAGACTATGTTTACACTACCTGTACACTAAATATAGCATATGAATTAGAGCCCATTGTTTTTTCCATGTGCCCTTGTGGGTTTTGTATTGATCAATGGCAGTAAAATGCAGGTCACTCCTGTAGTTTGAATGAGCCTTAACTCTTGCACAATATTATTTAAGGACATTGGGTATCATTTGCACAGGGCTAGTGACTCTGGAGAACACATGAAACAATAAGAAGGGACTTCACTAAGTTTTAGGTATGAGTGGGGAAACGTTAGTCAAGGCTTGCTTAGGAATACATCCAAATGAGGTAACAGGAAAGAATTTTGGCACGCCTTGTAATTAAATGCAATTGTTTTTCTTTTAAGAATTTTAGGATGTTTTCTAAACCAGGATCATGCTCTATAGGAAATAGATTTTACTTAAAACTACCATTAAAAACAATTGAAAATGTTTTCATCCAGGAAACAGCCTTTTCTCTTCTCTCTCACCTCTCCAGATTGGCTTTGTTGGGCTCCAACGTATTGCAGGAAGTTTCCTAAAAATTGTTGGGGAATAGTGAGAAGGGAGGTTCCTGTGTCCACCATGGCTTGACATCCCTGGCTACACCAACCTGTTGCCTGCCCATTGATGGAAAACCTAAAATATATTAAAGTAGACTATTGTTCCTTATGATACTTTGGATTACATTAAAGGCCAGTATAGAATTGATTAGATTATGGTAATTTTAGAACAGATAATTATTGGGTTAGAAACTACTCACTCATCATCATAGCAATCTGCCAGTACAGCTCTTGAGTGACAGGTGCCCAGTATATCTGTCCAGAATACAGTTGGTTGTCGACACCACCAAAAATGACTGCTCCTGATTGACTGAATACAGATGGCGTTTTAAAAAAACAATTTTTTAGATAAACCAGTTCCACTAGTAGCAAATACAAGTCAACTTTACAAAACAGTGAAGACTTACCTATTCATGTAGACACTGAAAATAGGGTATGTGAGGAGATTTTGTTGCAACATGCCCTGCATTGCAGTGGTGGCACCTCCTGCAGAAAGGGCAGGATAAGCCATTCCAAAAATACCTTCAAAGCCAGCATACACAAAGTCGGTGCCAGGTTCATTGACACTTAGGCCAAGCTCTTGGTTTGTGATGGTCAGGCTTTGCACCTTTGAAATAGAGATAATGTCACTGACATCTAAGCTTAAAAAGCAGAACAAAAACATAATAAATGTATACTAGTTTATTAAAAAGACGGCTATTGCAAAATTCTCCTTGGCCATATTAGTTATCTCTTAGCAGAGCATTTAGAAACTTTTTCTAGTTTTGGATAAAGTACAAAAAATTTTAACTTCTGTTTAATTTTAATTTTTACTGTTATCCGAGACTCCATTAGCGAGATTTTCCTTTATTTTTCTGTTTTGCTGGCAACACGTGAATGTAGCCAGTCTCTAACCCTGTACTGTCCAAAATTAAGTAAAAGTTTTCTTCTGGACATAAACTTTGACAATGTAAAGCTAAAAAAATGGACTACAGCTTAACTAAAAAAAATGTGTTTTAAAACAGACTGGAAAGTGTAAGTTTGTCACCTAATTTTAATTGTAAAAACATTTAAATGGAGTTCAGACACCAAAAACAGTTTTAATCATTCCTAGTTTCAATGTAAATTATTGGTGGTAGGTTGCCTTAATCATTTTTGGTTGACAGTGTTCGAAATTGCCACACAATTTCAATGTATGTATGACCTGTATAAGTATACACAATTGGGCAGAGCGACATTTCCATTTTCAGAGATAAAGTAACCCTGTTGTCACTGGGTTTCTTGTACAAAATAGCCAAACCTGTAAGAGAAATGGCAATATACTTACATTTCTGATAATATACGTGTGTTGAAATTCCACCACTTTGCTGCTCTCCAGCCACTGAATATATTCCTGAATATATTCCTGACTTCAAGGGATGTAGAATACCTGCTCCCCTACTGTATGCAATGGTTCCATCTGCCAGCTTCTATGTCACTACAGGATGCACAACCCAAAGGGAGAAACCACTGTGTGCAGCAGGGGTAACATGTATTTAACACATCGGATGTGTCAAACATCTGCTGTAGCCAAGGAGCAGTGACGTAGTGGCATTTTCATGAGCTGCCGAGTAAGTATATTGCCCTTTTCTTTTCCAGGCTTGGTGTTTTGTGCAAGTGAACCATTGGTGAATGAGTCTCTTTAATTCCTGTTTATATATGCATGTATAGTTTCCACAAATGTGTTTTAGTGATTGTTCAATTAAGTATTATAATGAGTCATGACTACATTATGCACAGAGATTGAAAACTCACAAAGAAAGTACTGTAGGTACACATGATTCAAATAAGTAAATGCATTCCATCCAACACTGAATTTTTAATTTTAATTGCAGGTAAATTTGTGTTTTAATATAAATAGTTTTATATTTATAGTCTAATTAATAGATTTTTTTAAAATTATATGTAAAAATGTATGATTCTCTGCACTGAGAGAAGTATGCTAGCTTCAGAGAGCTTAAACTACAACGGCTTCAGTAGTTTCTAAGTCACTATGTTCCAGATAAATAATTTTGTCTTTTTTCTGTGTACTTGTTCTGGGTTTGTGTTTCAAAAATACTGAAATCAGAGGCAGCCAGGCAGCTAGAAGTTGTAGAAAGATAATGGCAATGGTAGCCTACATATTTTTCCTAATATGTGTTACCTTTTCCTACCTTATAAGCAGAGGTGAGGTATTATCTTACTTGTGCATTACAGCAATTAAATCTAGGGTAACAGCTGCTTACTGCTAAGCTACACATGAATAAATCGAAATAAAATAATACAACTAAATTTGTTATAGTGGCTGTCAGGGTGATACATTTTTTAAATTCTCAGCACCTTGAAGGAATTTTCCACACTAAACATCTTTCAATTGTTCATATATATTCTCTGTTTTAATTTTAGAATAAAAAGTCCACAAGCAGTATTGCTTCCCTGCTCAGACTCCCAATGCAGTGTTTTGAAAAAAAAAAAAAAAAAACGCGGTTGACGTGCGGAAAGCTGTTTTTTATCTTGAAACATATCTGGTTTACAAAATCCAAATCAATTGTTTTTGGAGGCAGGGTAAATAAAGTTGAACATGTTCCAGGACTGCAGTATCCTCTAAGATGCATTTTTTAAATTTGAGCTAAAGAAAGAAAACCCCTGCTGGTATACTTTCTTCTTGTTAGTGGAAATGCCTTTAAAAACAAACTATTATGGTTTTGGATTTATTTATTTTTAATGAATGTACAGTACTTTGTACATCTTTATTTTTTTACTATTATTACTTGTATAAAACTACTGTATGCACATGTATTTAAAAAAATATTGTAAGGTGCTTCCATGACACTATATGTACCTGTATTTGCAGAGTATACTGGGTTTTTGACAGCCTCCGATTAAATTTACATTCTAAAACTCAAAAAAAAGGGAGACGTGTCCCTCCTCTGATTTGTTACTTTTCTGAATAGTGATATGAATCAGGACCAGTAATATTGTCTTAGTTAAAATGTTTTGTTCAATACCACAATATCCTAAGTGTCATTTTATTCAGTTTTATCTGATACCTTAGATTCATTTATGCCACTTTAAAGTTTTACTTACTGTCACAGTATCATAGCCAAAGACTCCAGTGAGACTCCCACTGCCATACTGCATAGAAAACTGCTGATTATTGGATGTGTATGTGGAGGACTGGCTTGGGTTGAATAATGGATGGTTCTCTAAGGGGTCAAGCAGACAAATAACGTCAGCAGGAGTAAGACATTAGATGCTTCTACCCTTCTTTAAGTATGTTCTTCAATTCCTACATCTCTCAGAGTCACTCTTTTTGTAATTAAATAATAGTTATCAAATACGTGCATGACATTAAAACAAAGTTTTAATATATAAACCAATACATACAAAGTATGATTTATACACCAATCAGCCATAACATTATGACCACCCACCATAACATGGCAATCCATCTAATATTGAGTAGGTTTCCCTTTTACCACCAAAACAGCGCTGATCCATTGAGACATGGACTCTACTAGACCTCTGAAGGTATGCTATGGTATCTTACACCAAGCCATTAGAAACAGATCCCTTAAGTCCTGTATGTTGAGAGGTGGGGCCTTCATGGATTTGACTTATTTTTCCAACAATTCCCACAGATGCTCAATTGGATTGAGATCTGGAGAATTTGGAGGCCACGTCAATACCTCAAAGACACCTTCTTCCATTGTTCTGTGGTCTGGTTCTGATTCTCACATGCACATTGTAGGCTCTTTTGGCTGTGGACACAGGTCAGCATGGGCACCCTGACTAGTCTGTGGCTATGCAGTCCCATACACAACAAACAGTGATGCACTGTGTGTTCTGGCACCTTTTTTCTCAGAACCAACATAAACTTTATCATCAATTTGACCTACATTAGCTCTTCTATTTAATCAGACTACACACACCAACCTTCACTCTTCACCTGCATCAACGAGCCTTGGCCAACCATGACCTTGTCGCTGTTTGACGGTTTTCCTTTCTTGCACCACTTTTGGTAGGTGCTGACCATTGCAGACCAGGAACATCCTACAAGAGCTGCAGTTTTGGAGTTGCTCTGACCCAGTCTGTTCACCTTACTGCAAATTCAATTGTTTATGTTGAATAGATGTGTAAGTATGGTTAGGTCAGTGTAATGGGGCTGAGAAATGAGTTGTTATGGCCTTGGGTTTTTTATTGCTATTTGTTTCTCCCCTTTCTATATTTCCTAGTGAATATAGATAAGTCAACTTAGTTTTTTTTCACTCAGCTAGTGAACTGAACAAACGAACAAAAAAGCAAAACAAAACCAATTATTTCATCTCCGCAAATGAGGTGGATGCTCCCCTCTGGGACATTGTATTCTGACAGCGGCACCCACAGCTGTTAGAGAGCACTGATCAGTTGCTGCCGCTGATTAATTGCAGTGGACGACTAAGGAAAATTTTCTGACGCATCCACTCAACAGAGGTCAAACAACTTGTCAACTTTTATCAACCAGGAACAGCCAAACACTGATCGAAATTCAACTGGATCAGCACAGGCCAATTTTAATCAGCATATGGACAGCATTAAACTGCATTATATTTTAGGGATCTAACATTCCACTTTACAAACAATTGTCATACATACGGCAGGCTTCACTCTGGCAGTAAGTTGAAGCAACCCAGAGATTGGATGATCCAGTGTCAAAAAGTACCATGAAGTTCTGGGGAGGTGTTCCAACACTGATTTGTCCATAATAGCAGGCCTGAAATGTTCAAAAACATTATACCAGTTATAAAAAAAAGAAAATGTAAAATTGGATCTCCTTTAACTCACACTGCTTATATTAACGTGTTACATAGTTACATAGTTAGTCTGGTTGAGAGACACAAGTCCATCTAGTTCAACCAATAAAAAGGAAAAGAAAAAAATTATACAATATATATAATCCTATTTACACAATCCTATACCCACAGTTGATCCAGAGGAAGGCAAAAACCCCCAGCAAAACATGATCCAAATTGCTCCTGCAGGCAAAAAAATTCCTTCCTGACCCTCCAAGAAGCAATCATATATTCCCTTGTTCAACATTACCTATAAATGTTAGTATCCAGTTATATTATGTGCATTTAGGAAAGAATTCAGGCCTTTTTTTTAAAAGCAATCTACTGAGCTGGCCAGAACCAACTCTTGAGGGAGTCTATTCCACATTTTCACAGCTCTTACTGTGAAGAAGCGTTTCCGTATTTGGAGATTAAATCTCTTTTCCTCCAGACGTAAAGAGTGTCCACTTGCCCTCTGTGGTGACCTTAAAGTTAATAACTCAACACCAAGTTCACTATATGAACCACTGATGTATTTATACATGGTAATCATATCCTCCTAATCTCCTCTTCTCAAGAGAGAATAAATTCAGTTCCTCTAATCTTTCCTCATAGCTGAGCTCCTCCATGTCCCTTATCAGTTAGGTGCTCTTCTCTGCACTTTCTCCAGTTCCCTGATATCCTTTTTGTGAATCGGTGCCCAAAACTGAACTGCATATTCCAGATGAGGCAACTAATGATTTGTACAGGGGTAAAATTATATATCTCTCTCTGGAGTCTATACCTCTTTTAATACAATAAATGATTCTGCTCACTTTAGAAACTGTAGCTTGGCATTGCATGCCATTATTAAGCTTGTGATCTACCAAAACTCCCAGATCCTTTTCCACCATTGAATCCACCAGTTGTACCCCCCCTAGTATGTGTGATGCATGCATATTCTTAGCCCCCAAGTGCATAACCTTACATTTATCAACATTAAACCTCATTTACCACATAGTTGCCCAATTAAACAGTGCATTGAGGTCGGCTTGTTAGTTGGAGACATCCTGAAAGAACGTTATTCCACTGCAAAGCTTAGTGTCATCTGCAAAGACTGAAGCAGTATTTTTAATCCTAGACTCTATATCATTTATAAATATATTAAAAAGTAACGGTCCCAACACTAAACCTTGAGGTACACCATTAATAACCCTAGACCATTCAGAGTATGAATCATTAACCACTACTCTTTGAATTCGGTCTTTTAGCCAGTTTTCTATCCATTTACAAACTGATTTTTCCAAGCCTGTGGAATTTGCCTTACATATTAGTTGTGTTTCTCAGGAACTGTGTCAAGAGCCTTTGGAAAATCCAAGTATACCACGTCCACAGCCACTGCTTTGTCTAAGGTTTTGCTTACCTCCTCATACAAAGAAATCAGATTTGTTCGACAACTTCTGTCTTTCATGAATCCATGCTGTCCATTCCTTATAATATTTTATTCCAGCAGGAATGCATCTATGTGGTCTTTAATAAAAATCTCTAGTATCTTCCCAACTACAGTTAAACATTCACCTATGTGGAGAATGTGCCCTCAACTCAGAATAAAAAAGCTCCATCTCCACCAAAAAACATGTTCAGGACACATCAAAACATTCCACAGTATTCTACCCCAATGTGGTCATCGCCCCCAATTCAACACTTTTATTCCAACCTTTTACCATCAGCTGGGATCCAGGGAAAATAAAGTCAATAACATTGGGATGTCGACACATCTTAATATTGACTATAATACACCCACCACATCCTCAGACACCCTCCCTAACAATCAGAATACTATTACCCATACTAATTTAACTTCTGACACATTTTTGTCAAAAATCCATGCCCAGTCAACTCTCTAAAAAAGAAAGCACACAAGAGAGGCTGTCAAGGGAGACGAGGAAGAAATAAAAAAACAAACAAAAACAAATCTTGTGGCTCCTCCCAACAATCCTGATCCATTTTTCTTATTTAAAGATTTAAACAGACACATTATGAATCTAACACTCAAAAGATTTTTCCAAATACAAGCACAAAAAAGAAACAATTCTTCAGTTTTAGAAGTAGGAAATACATCTATTAGCCCTATGCCTGACCTCATGTGTTTTGATTTTACATAGTTACATAGTTAGTTAGTCTGGCTGAATAAAAGACAAAAGTCCATCCAGTTCAAACAAGAAAAAAAAAGTTCTAATCCTATGCCCACAACTTATCCAGAGGAAAGCAACCCCCCCCCCCCCCCCAGCAAAGCATGATCCAATTTGCTCCTTCAGGGGAGAAAAGATAAAAATTCCTTCCTGATCCCCCCAGAGGCAATCGAATATTCCCTGGATCAACTTTAAACTTTAGGATTTTGATGCAGACATTTTAGAAACACTGGAACAATTATACCAAGATGACTCCTCTGACGATCTGATAGCTTTTACCAACACTGTATTTCTTGCCCACCCATTGCACAATCTCCATTGAAACCCAAGTCTATGTTTTTTTCCACATCACACAAAAGGTCCATACTTGGAGACCTTCTACAAAATGATATATTCAGACCTTATAAAACTCTGTCAACTTCATCCTTCCAAATCATATTACTTAGCACATCTCACCCCCAGTGAAAATAAGGCATTAAAAGACCTTACAGAGAACAATAACATTGTCATTAAAACTTCAGATAAAGGCGGTGGCATTGTTATCCAGGATAAAAAGAACTATATAATAGAGGCAAACAGACTACTGTCCAATACCTCTACCTATAAAAAAATTCAAAAAAGATCCATTACCAGAATTCAAGTTAGAAGCTGATACATTGGTCCAACATGCCCTTTAAATATAGTATATTGGACAAAACCAAGGTTGCTTTTTTATGCAGGAATTTTTATCGCACACCTTATTTTTTTTATCATATAGAGTACCTACAATTCACAAAGACCAAAGAAACCCACCAGGAAGAACTATAATCTTTGCAATGGACCAATTTTTGCCTTTCCCACAATTATTTTAGTTTTAATGATGAGTTTTATTTACAAATTCAGGGCACTGCAGGGCGCAATTCTTGCACCGCCATATGTTAATCTTACGATGAACCTGTGGGAATCCTGATATATTTGGAACAATAACCCCTATGTGCAGTACCTCATCTATTTTGGGAGGTACATAGATGATATCATTATCATCTGGGGCAGCCCAATTGACTTCATATCTTCATTTGTGGAGCACTGCAATAGCAACCCTTTTGGCTTGTCATTTACACATGTGTTTGATTCAGACAAATTGGCCTTCTTAGATCTTGAAGTATACCATGAAAACAATGAGGTTCATGCTAGGAATGACAACAAACTCGCTGCAGGCAACTTGCTTTTGCATTATAGTAGTTGCCATTATCCTAAGTGGACTAACAATATCCCAAAAAGGACAATTTTGCCACTTAAGGCAAAATTGCACAAAGGTCACTGATTATATAGAACAAAGCCTCATTCGCAAAGAAAAGGGCTACCCAGAACACAAAATACAACAAGCCTACACTGTTTATCTTAATGAAAAAACAACCAAAAAAGAAAAGGAGGCTTTTGACTAATTAATTAGGTTCATCACGAGATTTCATAAAAAGCACAAGAAAAATTGGAAAAACTAAAAAAAGACATTGGAATATATGACTAAAAGATCCTTATTTATCACCACTGCTTCCTAATCAACAACAAGTAACATATAAGAGAGCTCCAAATCTCAAAAACAAAATTGCTTCTAGTAAATTAAAATTGAACAAAACATAACTTATAAATAGCAGATGCCTTATACCATTAGTGGGGCATGTACCAATGCAGAAAAACACTTTGTAAAACCTGTCCCTTCATCTCACATGGGAGAAAAGAGTTTGTAGCAAGAGGTAATATATTTAAATTTACAGATTTTTATAATTGCTCCTCAGATTATGTAGTGTATTGCATTACATGTCCTTGTAAACTGTTCTAAATAGGCTGCACTAATCGTCCACTAAGAAAATGTTTCAGTGTACATTGCCGATTGGTTGAAAAGGGAAAAGATAAACACAGTATCCCTCACCACTTTGCTGAACACCATCAAAAATCTACAAAAGGTCTAGAAGTATGGATTTTTGAACAAATAACCAGAGGTCTCCCCGAAGCAGAGCGCTTTCATAGGCTCTATGAAAGGGAGACCTTCTGGATTTATATTCTATATACTTTGTCACCTGGAGATCTTAATGAAGAAATCGAAGGATCCACAATCCTGTAATCATACACACATAGTTATCTGTTACATCTATGACTCTTTCCATAACCATCTGCTTTGTCCCTCCCCCCCTTTTTTTCCAGTTGGTGGGTTGGATATCTTTCTTGGGTGGTGGGTGGCACCAGCATTAGTAAGTATTCTATGCTATAATGTACTGTGAACATGATGAGCTTTATTATTATTATTATTTTTTTTTTTTTATTAATCACAGTACACCTCTCTTAATTTTGTCACCTTTATCAATTTTTTAATATATTCCCTTGCCAATTGCAAGTATTTAGTAATATTATTATACACTCCTTCCTTTAAATATAGGTGCATAGGTGCACGGAAGAGCAGAAGTGCACTAACAGTAATTACATTCTATACTGTAATCATGGGTCCTAGCAGAAGCATGGCTTAAGCATATTAATATCAATGTCAGCCTACCAATATTCCTATATGAATTACGTATCCAAGATATATAACCCAGGTAATCCCATTTCATTCTCATACCATTACAGATGTTTATTATTATTTCTGTTCATTTTTAACATACCTATATATGTGCTTTTTAATTTAATGCTTAATGCCACTATATATATATATATATATATATATATATATAGACTCATGTTTGTGTATATTTGTTATTTTTGTTCCACATATTGCTTTTTACCTAAACCCAATCTATATATGGTATATTAATAATAACCAGCAGTTTTGTGTTTAACCAAAAGATGGAGCTGTGTATTAGATCATTGGGCTTCAGTATACTCCATATTATGGACTTACTTTAGGAGATGTATATTGCCTCTATTTATATGTATGCACATCACACTAAGGTCCCCTCAGCTTGAGAAAGGAGTTCACCCGACGAAGCGCATTGCATCACTTCTGGTGATGTCACCACGCCAAGCACCGCAGTCCTCTTTTGCTCCAACTGCATTTCAGCCCTCGTTTTGGGTTCCCCTCCATCATCCAGCCAACCAAGCAGCAGTGAAGGAAGACCACTCACCAGTTTGGACTTACACAATTTACCTTTGTTTTAGTACATTATATGACAGTCTACACTCAGAGGTGCCATCCTTTGTCTTTCCTTTGCATATTATTTGAAGATAGCTTTCGCTCTCTACCAGAAGACATGCAATGGAGTTATAACTGTCTGTTGGCCACAGTCACATTGTAGTTGGATGGACTTGTTATATAGCAGGTTCACTACCCCTACTGCACAAACTACTTGCGGTGAATCATCTGTTTGCCCCATGATTACCTTTATATAAACAAACAGGTCTATAATTACTTGGTAAAGACTTTGATCACTTTTTAATATAGGCACCACGTTGGACTTACTCTAACCCCGTGGTACAGTGCCAGTCATTAGAATCCCTACAAATTAGAAACAATGGCTTTGAAATGACAAAGTTCAATTATTTTAGGGCCCATGGGTGTATATCATCTGGTCCAGGTGTGTATCTAAGCCCAAATTCAAACATTTTATGAATTGCAGCTTACCAGTCCTTAGTCTACTTGTTGGTTTTGTTCTCTTTGTTTTCACCAGTTGATCAGTCAGTAACACACTTGCTGTCCTAGGGTGGCTTCTCTATCTATGGAGGAGCAACAGAGACACCCTTGGGCAGTAGCGCTGGCTGGAGAACGTATTATTAGATGGACTAGTAGATTTAGATGGACTTTACAAGTGACCAAAAACTTAATGTCTAACTCTAACACTTTTTAGGCAGTTACAGAAACATTTTTTCCCTTTTGGTATAAAGCTTTTATATTAATGAATACAAGCTGATCATTGTAAGAACCCCTGTCAGGGTTAAATGGTTTGGTCCAACTCTCTAACTTCTACTTTTTGCTGCACAGCATGATCTGTTAAAGGAAGTTGAAAAACACAGCAGTATCAACAGGTAAAGAAAGTTATATGGGGGACTTAGAAAAACAAAGACTATTTTATTAATGCTAGTGACAGAATACATTATATACAGTATGTAATCTTTGATTTTGTCTTTAGTGGGACTCTAATTGCTTGGATGGAGACGCCAAAAGTTTTAAATGTTGGAAGTTAGGCAGTTTGTTTTAAAAGTCTTGTATTCTCAGAGTTTTATGATTAGATGATTGGTGATATAATCCTTACAATCTACGAGGTGAAGGTATCACACTCTAATCATTAACATATATGGCTGTTCAATAAGCAAAGATTAATTGCATTTGGCTAAAAAGAATAGTTTTATCAATGGCTTTGTAAACAAAAAGTAAAAGCGGAAAAAATACTCAGAACAACACAGAAACAAGATATAAACAAGAAATATAAAACATGAAAATTACATTATATGTACAAAGCTAAGTACTATTTATACAAACTCAACTAATTTTGAGCAGGAATAAACATTATTTTATACTCTTCCCATTGGATAACAGATACTGTAAGGGTAAATATAGGCAGATGTTGTTTAATTCTATTTTCACCTGGCAAATGCTGGCCAATTTTTTTTTAATGGGTCTAAAGCACTGTGATAATTAGAAAGAATATGCAAAACTGACTTTTTGTTTACTGGAAAATAGGCAAATTTTGAACAAATTACCTATCAAATTAGTGGTAAATAGGTCACTGGACTTGTGCTGTTTTTAGGTACTTACATCCATGTTCATAGGCTCATAGACCACAGCAAAATCATTTTTGTGGTTGTAGCTATATTTCATGGCAGGATCCCTCTTGTGTGTTTTCATAAACTCTTTCAGTACTCCTTTCTCCTTCATTGTTTCCCGTATGGATTTGAATCTCTTCAGAGGGACTCTGTAATGGCAATGTGTTAAACTTATCCAAATGAAAGCATTTCTGCTTCTATGATGTTAACTGCTTATATTGCTTTAAATAGATTTCATCCTACTCATTAACTAAATAATGAAGCATATCCAAATTTATGCAGGTTGGGTCATGTTACTGGAAAATATAGTGATTCTGTTCTTGCCACGAGCTTTAATGTAAGTGTAATGCCTAAATGGTAAAGTTTACAGAATGTTAATAAGACTTATGAAGACTCTTTTCAGTAAACCAGTTTATATTTTTGATAAGCTCGTAACCAGCAATGTTCTTTCCATTGATGGAGAAGGCATTCTGGGTGGGGCACACTGTAAAAAGAGCGTGACTCTGGAATGTGTGGTACCCCTCTTGTGGGCAAGTGTGATTGGGTGTGAATGGAGGTCATCCAAAATACTAGGGAAGGATTTTGCTTTGCTTTGCTCTCATGTAGTTGACTTCCAAACTGCTGACTACAATAATATAATAACTAAAGTCTCAAGCCAACTTCTGGGATGAATATAGCATATATTTAAACTTAACGGTGGCTATGATGGTTTGCATGTTTATACTCTATATTTTTTTTAATATTCAAGATTCATCTATGACACAGGATTCCTAGAACACTGTAGCTTTCTTAAGTCAGCAGATGTTGTTTTCTTTCAGGCTCTCTCTCTCTTATTTAAACTCCTATTTACGTTTGAGGAAAATTAGTAACTCTTCTTACTCAAAAACGCTGCTGCTGGTTAGACATGTATATATTAAATATTGCATATGTAATATTTAAAATTTAATTGACTATAAATAAAAATGTATTTTTTAAATTGTATTTTTGCACTAAGCACAAAAACTACAGTGCATTCATAAAGTATTCAGACCCCTTCACTTTTTTCAATTTTGTTATGTTGCAGCCTGATACTACAGTTGTTTAAATTATTATTTTTTTCCACATTAATCTACACTCAGTACACCATAAAGCCAAAGTGAAAACAGAATTTTAGAAATGTCTGAATTTATATAAAATAATAAATGGAAGTATCACATTGGCATAAGTATTCAGACCCTTTGCAATAACACCAGTTATATATAATATCAGTTGCCTCCCATTTCACTTGGTCATTGCTGAGATTTTTCTACACCTTGATTGGAGCCCTCCTGTGGTAAATTAAATTGATTGGATATGATTTGGAAGGGACACACACCTCTCTATAAAAGGCATCACAGCTGACAATGCATAAAGAGCAAAAGCCATGAGCTCAAAGGAAATGCCTGCAGTGCTCAGATACAGGATTATTGCAAGATACAGATTTGGGGAAGGCTACAGAAAAGTTCTGCTGCACTGAAGGTTCCCAAGAGCACAGTGGCTCAATAATTCTCAAATTGAAAATGTTTGGCAAAACCAGGACTCTTCAAAGAGTTGGACATCCGGCCAAACTGGACAATCGGGGAAGAAAGGCCTTAATAGGAAAGGTGACCAAGAACCCAATGGTCTCTCTGACTGAACTCCAGAGATCCTGTGTGGGGATGGGACAACATTTCAGAAGGATAACATCATCAACTGATCTGGGCTTTATGGCAGAGTGGCTAGACGGAAGCCTCTCTTGGGGTACTGATACAGGATGCACTGTCAGCTGTGAGGCCTTTTGTAGAGATGCGTGTGTCTTTCCAAATAATGTCCAATCAATTTAATATATGACAGGTGGACACCAGTCAAAGTGTGGAAACATCTTAGCAACGATCAAGAGAAATGGGAGGCACCTGAGCTAAATTTCATGTGTTGTTGCAAAGGGTCTGAATACTTATGCCAAATGTGACATATCCATTTTTTTATATTCATAAATTTAAAACATGTCCCAAATGTATTTTTTAGCTTTGACATTTATGGGGTACTGAGTGTAGATTAATGAAAATAGAAAATAAATGTAAACAACTGTAGTATCTGGCTGCAATATAACAAAATCAAAAAAAGTGAAGGGGGTCTGAATACTTTATGAATGCACTGTATTTTTAGACAAGACAAAAACACTATACATTATCTTTAAAAACCAAGAAAATTGAACTGTGAAAAAACTGCTCTAAGTACTTTTTCAGAGATATAGGTCTATTTGTTAATAACAGTATGCATGGCCTGTTAATCAAAATTTAAACAAAAAAAATTCCAAAATCCTTGCAACAGTGCTTTTACAAGTAGAGCAAATAGCCAGTTGATTTTTGGCTCAATTGCATTCAAATTGCTTGCACAAAATGCTTATAAGACGTCCTTAATTATTTACAAGTTAGGCAGATTTTTCAAGCTTTGAGGTTGACTTGAATGCATGTATTCGTACTTCGAATGTGTAGTTCAGATTTGGGCAGCATCTCAAAATAATGACATATTATCTAATATGTCCTGCCTGTCACATACAGTAAAATACAATTCTGCTTTTCTGATAAATGTTTATTTTTCAGATTCTTGTTCCGATGAGTGTCTACAATAAGGAACTATCAGATGGAAGTTTATATTTATTTAAAATTGTGTTTGGACTGCTTACACAATCACAATCACAGAATATCCTCCTCCTATTAAGCAAAACTGATCATACTAAGAACAAATGTTGGAAAACTAGTCTGTCTATAAATACTATTTACAAATTCAACTGTTGAAATTTCAATTTTAACCCTTTAACTAATAGTATCACATGTGTCAGAAAAGAAAGGCCTCTTGTTTTAAAGCAGCTCTAATTGTTGCAATGCAGCACAACGCAATGCAGTACAAAAGCATTTGAACTGCTTTTACCTAGGTGTTTCAAAGCACTCTAGAGCGGGATTGATGAATCATTTTGTTCTTAATCCAATATATTAGCATTTACCAACCTGACCAAACCCTCTGAGAGGTGAAGACAAACCAGCGCAAGAATCAACCACTTCATGGTTTTGAACTTAGGCAACACCAATCTTCTGGAACTGTGCTGTAAGATCGTTGCTGTGGTGTTTTATATAGCTGTTGGCTTTACGCAAGTGTATAATCTGGAATCTAACCTTCTACCAATGTTTGGGGTAAATGTATTTATTTTGGAAGTCTTAAGCATGTATTATCTCATCGAATGTTATAAAATAGCCCCTAAAAGTAATGTTAAAGGTGTTTTTAATGGACTGATAAATTTTTCCTAGTGGAAACACTGTGTTCAAACTACAACATAGCTATCAACATAGCTATCAAAAGGAAAATAAAGTTATCAAAAAGAAAATACAAACTTTTGCTGTTGCTGTTCTACTGCAGGACAAAATTAACACAGAAAATAAGGTCACATTTTTTTCAGGGACATATCATGCTTAAAATTATTATTTTGCCAAAACTGTGTCCCATATGTTAGTACACTGCAAATAAGAAGGAATTCACAGAGTTTTCTCTTATTTTAATCTAACTTTGTCTTTACACATTTCTGTGCAGAGATTGTCCATTAAAGTAACAGAACACCCACCTGTCTATGTAATCGGTGAATTACACTGTTTTATAACATAGAACCTGTACAATAAATATGAAAGATTTCTTTACATTATGGTCTCTCGACAAAACCTATGCTAGTTATTTTTTTAAATCACCCCCACCCACTCATCTGGCCTCTTGTTGGCATGCAGAGGCAACGCGCACTTCCTTTATGTACAGTTGTGCCCAAAAGTTTACATTCCCCCGGCAGAAATCGTGAAATTTTGGCATTGATATTGAAAACATGACAGCATGCCAAAAAAAATCACCCAAATGGCCATGATCAAAAGTTTACATACCCTGGAATGTATGGCCTTGGTACAGACACACAAGGTGACACACACACGGTTAAAGTGCCAATTAGAGGTTAATGTCCCACATCTGTAGCTTTTAAATTGCAATTAGTGTCAATGTATAAATAGTCAATGAGTTTGTTAGAACTTACGTGGAAGCACTGACTAGGCTAAATAGTGAGCCATGAGGGATCAGAAAAGAACTGTCAAAGGTCCTGCGTAACAAGGTAATGGAACTTTATAAAGATGGAAAAGGACATAAAAAAATGTCCAAAGCCTTGAATATGCCAGTCATCACTTCCACTAAGAAGTGGAAAATTCAGGGACCTCTTGATACCAAGCCAAGTACAGGTAGACCAAGATAGATTGCAGACACAACTGCCAGAAGAATTGTTCGGGATGCAAAGGGAAACCCATAGGTAACCACTAGAAAAATACAGGTTTCTCTGGAAAAAGATAGCGTGGTTGTTTTGACAGAGCACAACATGATGACACTTGAACAAAAATGAGCTGCATGGTCAAGGTGCCAGAAAGAAGCCTTTACTGCACCAATGAAACAAAAAGGCCTGGTTAGGCATGTCAAGGTGTTGTCAGACATATTGTAACTGGCCTTTTTTGTGGCATTGGTGCAGTAAAAGCTTCTTTCTGGAACCTCGATTATGCAGCTCATTTTTGTTCAAGTATCACCATATTGTACTACTTAAAAACAAACACACCATCTTTTTCCAGAGCAGCCTGTACTACTTTTGAGGTTGCCTGTGGGTTTTTTCTTTGAATCCCGGACAATTCTTCTGTCAGTTATGGCTGCAATCTTTCTTGGTCTACCTGACCTTGGCTTGGTAGGTGATTTAACAGTACTGATTGGCATATTCAAGGCTTTGGACATCTTTTTATGTTCTTTTCCATCTTTATAAAGTTCCATTACCTTGTTATGCAGGACTTTTGACAGTTCTTTTCTAATCCCCATGGCTCAGTATCTATCCTAGTCAGTGTTTCCACGTAAGAGCTAACAAACTCATTGACTATTTATACATTGACACTAATTGCAATTTAAATTGCCTCAGATGTGGGACATTAACCTCTAATTGGCATTTTAACCCGTGTGTGTCACCTTGTGTGTCTGTACCAAGGCCAAACATTCCAGGGTCTGTAAACTTTTGATCATGGCCATTTGGGTGATTTCTGCTATCATTATGATTTAAAAAGGAGCCAAACAACTATTTGATAATAAATGGTTTTATATTATCATCATCCTTCAATAAAAGAGCATTTTTTGGCATGATCAGTCATATTTTCAATATCAATGCCAAAATTTCACAATTTCTGCCAGGGTATGCAAACTTTTGAGCACAACTGTAATTGGTGAATTATGCTTTTTTATAACATAGAACCTGCACAATAAATATGAAAGATTTTTTTACATTATGGTCAACCAGCAAAGCTTATGCTAGTTATTTTTTAAAATCACCCCCTACCCACTCATCTGGCAACTTGTTGGCATGCAGAGGCAACGTGCACTTCCTCTATGTAAGCGGTGAATTATGCTATTTTATAACATAGAACCTGCACAATAAATATGAAATATTTCTTTACATTATAGTTAACTGGCAAAGCTTATGCTAGTTATTTTTAAAATCACCCCCCCCAACCACTCATCTGGCGACTTGTTGGCATGCAGAGGCAATGCGCACTTCCTTCGCCAGAGTTGCAGCCAGGTCACATTGGTGATGCATGGCAGGGCAAATCCTTTACTGGATCTTTTTCAGAATGCTTATTTATATTATGTGAGTCTACTAGAACCGGCAGACTTATGTTTGCACTGACTATATTCATATTGTTGCTGTTTCCCCCTCCCTTCTATTGTATATTTTTTTTAGGTTAATCTACTGCTTAACAATTGTTCTTTGTACTTTTTACTTGAATGTGTCCTTTTTGGACAAGGACTTGAGGCACAGTGTGTCTCGAGGTCATTAATATTTCTGTATTTGTAAACCTTAAAGTGTTACAAAACCCGGGACCCTGCATTCACTATATCTGTTCTAGGAGGATGCAAAACCCCTGACCTCTGTCTGACCAGTGCTGACTGGCCCTGTGCTGATCACATGCCCTCTCCCAAGAACAAAAAAAAAACCCTCTCTGGCAATACACACCCAAATTGAGCATGTGCAAATTGCCTACGGTTCAATCTCTCTTATCAGGAGATAAGACGTGGTCGCTTGAAAAAGGGGAGGAACAGAGAAGAAAGGATCAAACTGCCGTTTTAAACAATGCAGCGGATTAACCCCTTAGGTTCCACAGTGAGTATAACAAGCATGCTTTACTGCATATAAAGACTGATTTTACTGTTGTGGGTTTAGTAACACTTTAATGACATAAACAAATTACAACCAACTCTGAAGTGAACTAGTAAAGTGACCACTAGTCCACACTATTACTATGATATTTTTACTAATGGCTATAATATTTGACCTTTTAGGATTAACAAATATGCCAAACATTTTTGCAAGATATGATGTTTTCTACATTTAATGAATTCTACTGTCCCATAGACAGAAACTATATATTGTAACTGCACTTCTAAAATTAGCAGCTCCTTTTACAACTGTACAATAACAAACTGTGTGGAATTATATAGTAAGTACTTAAAAATAAAAAAAAAAAATATACTGTTTCTTTCATATATATTAATTACTTTGTTCTACACCTGTTTACTAATCCCAAATTTTTCTCTCACACACATGCAGTACAAACACTTCATAAACTTACTAGCACACCAAGAATAAGAAAAAAGTCATATTTATTAAATTGACAGATCTTTCATTAAAACATGCAAGACCAGGACATCCTTGCTTGCACCATTCAACCCATGCTAAAAATGCATTATAGCTCACTAAGCAAAAATACTAGAACATTTCAGAGATAATTCTTCCTCTAAAGCTTTAAGAGGTCCCCTGAGATGAAATACTGCACAGTTAGCCCACCAGATATATTAAATTGTAAACCATTGCACATGCAGAAGGTAGTTTAAGACATCAGTTTTCCAACATCATAAAAAGAACTTCAAACTTGTTGGAATTGTATATATTCTGAATATAGTGGGATACTATAAATCAATCAAAAATGACATATATTGCACAATCTGATCATATGTGTGCTATGCATCTATTCAAGTACAGTACTTGCTCACTTAGGATGTGTCAAAGGCATGCAGATAAGTTTCAAACTGAAAATCCCACAGGGTTCAAAATCCACACTTCACAGAGTGTTCAATCAGGTAAACTGCTTGATGCTAAATAAATAAGTTCTTCTGAAACAGTCCCTTTTTCACAACCACATACAGTGGCTATTGAGCTTTTACAATCATATACAATATAAGACTGCTCAGTCAGGTATCACACCATCCATTGCAGTTCAAACAATCAAACTCTGAGCTTTATTGCAATGAACCCCGCAGGCTGAACAAAAGAAGATCTTACCATGTATGGCTTGATTTAAATTAATTTGATTTAATTAAAGTGGAACTTTATTAGAAAATTGAGTCCTGCTAGATCACTTCAAGCTGGTCCCTTTGCAGATATAGCTATTTAAAACATTAAAAATAAGTGTGTATACTGTTTAAGACCCAGTAATATACTTTATTGCCCTGCTCTGCACATGCTCAGTTTTCTCTATTTTTTGGTACTGTGCCGTTCTGCTGACAGCCTAAAGATTTACTGCTGCTCAGGGGCTCCGGGCAGCCTCTGGCAAGAAGAAACATGAACAATGATGTAGGCAATTTAAAGCACACACTAATTTTGGTAGCATAATTAATAATGTGGAATGTATGTTTCTTGTTGAAAAAAAACATTATTATTTATCAAGTTGTTATGAATAAAGTTCTGCTTTAAGGTAGAATAAATAACATTTGTGGAGTCTCACCTATATGTAAAATTTTAATTTCTTTGGGTTTCATCAAGTTCAACAATCAGGCAACTCCTTATTCAACTTTAAACCACCAAAGAAGTTACTTTGATATGGTGGTAAAGAATATTTTAAAACGGGAGAGACCTAAAAGCATTGTGGGACATTTAAAAAAAAAAGACTATGGGGGTTATTTACCAAAACTGCAAATTGAAAATGTGGTGCAAATCTGCATAGAAATCAGCTTTCA